TCAACACAATTTAACATTGATCACAATAGAAAATCAAAAAAACGAACAAAACGCTTATCAAAATCATCATCAAAAGTCATTCCATTCAATGTTATTATATTATAGATTTCATTTATTTAGTATGATTATTATTTGTTTTTTTTAATATTATAGGATAATATCTCTCGTGAATCAATTCAATTTAATAGATCTAGTACAACTAAAGTAACAGTTTTTTTTTTACTATGATTTATCTATTTATTGTTTATTAAAACAAATTTAGACATTAAATGAATATTCAGCTAGAAAAAAATCTCTAGGTGAATATCATGAAATAGTAGAAGATACAAAAAAGAGAAAAAAACGAAAGTAAATATTAATTTAGAATTTTAATTTGAATATTCATTTTTTGTTTTAGATATTTTTATTGTTTTTCATGTCCATGTGGAGTTTGGTGTTTACTTTGTCTTTTGATTGGTCTTCTATTTGGAATACTTCTTGCTGTTTTATTACTTCAATTTTTACCAAAATCACAAACAACAATAACAAGTTATTTTATATTTATTTATTATTTTATATTAAAATAAATATTAATTTTTGTTTTAGCAACAATAAGTATTTCTACATTATTAACAAGTATGTTTAGATTAAAATAAATTTTTTTGTGTATAAATCTTTTTTATTGTAGATACTTCGACGATAGGTATATGATCTGATGTTGATTTATTGATATAGAACTACTCTAATTATCTTTTATTGTTTTAATAGGTTCATCTACGACAACGCCATCAGTAACAACAACAATTACATCAACAAGTAAGATTTTAGTTTAACTGAAACAAGCAAAATTCTATAAACTTATTTTACAGCTAATGAATCTTGTTTTTTTTTCATGATTCCGTTGAATAGACTACTTATTAGGCGAACAGTATACTTATAGAACTGATATATTTGAAAAATATTAAAATCATTGTTATCTTTTATTAATAGGTACAACAACCAATTATGTTTGTAGTTTTTCATGTCTCAATCAGTCATGGATTTCTTCTACTAACTTGCTTGCTAAATGGGAATTCGATAATAATCTAATTGAAGATGTCAGCAGTTCTTTAACAACTTCTGATCAAAGTCCTGTGTATGCCACTGGTTATGTGAATGAAGCACTCTTATTTGATGCAAATGCTAATCAATCACTAACATCTCCGTTTATTACTCTAACAAGTAGCAGTTTTACGATTGATGCTTGGATATATCCAACCGGTTTTCCGAATACACAAGATCATAGTATAGTCGGTCTATGCCCTTCTACTACTACTTATGAATGTCTTCATTTGACTATTCATGAAAATGGTGGTAAATATCTTTATTTGGGATTCTATGGTGATGATTGTGAAGGAAATACAGTAATATCACTAAACGAATGGATACATGTTGCATTTCTATTTGAAGTGAATTCATTGACACAGAGTATTTATCTTAATGGAAAATTAGATGTTAGTAGGACAGCAGGAGGACCATTTAAAGCCAATACCGATAGCGTCACAATTGGAAATATACCAGGACTTGATTCTTTTGCTGGTCCAAATTATTTTCAAGTAAAATATTTTCGTTCTCTTTTTAGTGTAGCGATAAAATAGTATTCAGAATATTTTAGTTTTTGTTTAAAACAAACTATACAAATATTTAGCTAAACAATTATGCCATTGGAAGCAAACCCATTTCTTTGTGTTTGTAGGGAATGATCGATCGATTGGCAATTACAAGTCGAGTTAAATCAGAATGTGAAATTCTTGAAGAAGCTACATTATCAACGTATTTTACTTTTAATTCAGGTATTTCGTTTAATGATTCAGGGCCTAATTCTCTATCAGCTATTGGATCATCTGTTTCATTCGTGTCTACTGGTCATTCTCTTGAAGCTATCTCATTCAGTGGTTCAACATCTTCATATTTTCAAATATCAGGTGTAACTAGTCTTGGTATTACAAATCGTCCATTTTCAATCTCACTTTGGATACGACCTCGATCTTTATCGGGAACTATTGTTCATGTTTCAGCAAATTCATCAGGTCTTGGATGGTGTTATCCTTTCTTAGGATTTGCTACTAATGGTTCAATTGTTGCTCAAATGTACAATAGTAATGTTAAATCCGTGATTGGTCCATCTATATCCGTGACCTCAGATTGGACACACATTGTTGAAACATGGAGTTCAACAAATGGTCTTCGTCTTTATGTTAATAATATTTTGGTTGCTTCCACTACTGCGATGGCCACTTCCTATATTGCTAGTTCGGTACAAAATTATGTTACATTAGCAAATAGTCTTAGTGGCACTGGTATTTGTGGTGCAGGTCTTCTTGGATCGATGAGTCCATACAATGGTGACATTGATGAATTCAGAATTTATAGTCGAGAACTGACTGCTGCTGATATATGTACACTTTATATTAGTTGAACTGAGAATTTTTTTTTTGCTGATTTTAATTGTTTTTATAAAATCGAATTATTTGTGCTTCTTCAAAAAATTTCTTGAATAATACTTTTATGTTTAAATAAAGGTTACATTAAAATAAATGTTACAGTTATTTTGTGAAGACATATTTCATCATTTCTATATCAATAATAGACTATAATTATTTCTGATTGAAGTGCACCATTTATTTCTCTGTAAAATATAATCCAGTATTTTTTATCTGTCAAATGTTGCTACAAACCTTTATTGATTTGATTCAATTCTGTAAATATTTTATATTTTTACGAGTAAAAAAAATGAATAAAAGTATTGATTTGGTCATCAATAAAATATATATTTCGTTTACAATAATATGATAACAATATAAAAGAGAGTCGCATGTAGAAACCTTATACTTCTAAAAAACCAATGTTTAGGTATTGAAACATAAATGAAATTTAATCTTATGACTAGCCTTATTAAACTTGCAAGTTCAATTAAGTATATAAATCAAACAATAACATTTACGGGTTAGTATGGCTGATTTATATAAATATTTTTCTCCTGATGTATTCGAAAATCCTAATCCTACACATTGTATTATTGATGTAACATGTTGAGTACATGTGACAGCAATATTTGAAGAAAAGTTTTACAACATCAGAAGCTTCAACTTCGATGAGCTGCTTCATTTAAAAAAAAAAGGGAACAATTAATATAAATAAACAGACTAACTTAGAAAATATTGATCCAACAAATTCGAAATTCCATTTCATTAAAAAAAGAAAGTTTTTTTTTCTGAACTCGTTTTAATTGAAGATATTTTTAATACATTTAAAAACAAGTTCCATTAATGCTAAATAACCTCAAAAAAAATTATACCCATTAAAAAAATGGTAGAAATTTTTTTAACATGAATTACATGTTGAATAGTTATCTTTCATTACAGATTTGAAAACAAAAAATATTAATAAAATGATGAAATTTTTGAAACAATATTTCGATTAAATAAAAACGTTTCTAAATTTTATATGACTCTTTGAGCTTTCTTTTAAATTTATAAAATTAGTTTTGCTAAGATAAACTAGAAATAGATGATGAATTATATTTTGTTTCATCGTCATGCTTACTCTACTCACCTGAATAAGATTCTTATCTATAAACACATATGACATTTCAATTTATTCTATTTGTCATGCACGTCGTTTCTTACATTGCTATTGTTTGTAGTGCTTTTATTGTGAGTATAATTGCATTACCAATTAATTGTCCTAGTTCATCAGCTGAATGGTGTCAAACTAAAGAAATTGCTGCTGCTTGTGGAGTTTGTATCAATTCAGTTTATTTTTTATGTTGAAGTTTTTTTTTTGTTTTTTAGGTCACAAAACAATGTACATCATTTGTATGGAAGAATATAGATAATGATCGTGTTAATTTTACAATTTATTATGAAACACTTTGTGCCGATTGTCGTCAATTTATTATTACACAAGTATGGTTTGCATATCAAGCTATAGCGGACATAGTTAATCTTACTTTTATCCCTTATGGTAATGCTCATGAAGTTTATCGACCTGAAACACAACTTTATCAATTTTATTGTCAACATGGTGTTGATGAATGTTATGGAAATCTTATTCACGTAAGTTTTATATTGTATATCAGTAGTTTTATTATTTCAATTTTCGTAGACATGTGTTATTGCTTTCTATCCAGATACTCGACAACATATGGTAAAGATAAAAAATAGGTTTTTTGTAGAAATAAAAATTTGAAATACTTTTTTTTCTTTGAAAGCCTTTTATTTATTGTATGGATTCTACATTTGGTGATATCGAAACTGTAGCAAGACAATGTGCAAAAAATGCAAGTATTGATTTTGACAAAGTTGCAAATTGTACAAATAGTCCAATGGGAAATCAATTACAACATGTATATGCTGTTCAAACTGAAAATACAAAACCGGCACAAGCTTCTGTACCTTTTGTAACGCTTAATGGAAATGGCACAGACGAGATTCAAGATATGGCTCAAACCAATCTTATTCGTCTTTTATGTGAAACATACAAGGTAAAATCGATGAATGATTTTTTTTTAATTTATACTATTTATAATCTTTATTTAGGGCCCCAATCCACCTGCTCGATGTAAAAAAACATTATAATCATTTTATTTTATCCGAACTTTCATACTGCAATGAATTTTGTATCATTTTTTCATCAAATAAATAATCGACTAATATCATAATTACAGATGTGAGCAGAGAAAAGTCAGACTTTAATATATCTGAAGATTATATACGATCATTAATTTACCCTTTGAAATCATCAAATACTATCGAGTCAGATCTTTAACATTTAAACTTACTCTGTATCCAGTACTATTTTTTCCTGGAAAAAGAATGGTTTAGTTACTACAATTATGTTTAATGATTTTTATGTTCTGTAAAGTTTTGATCTTGTCTTATCTATTATTATTTTCATTTGTCAATGTTAAACTTTTCAAAGGTAAGAAAGTGTTGCAAATCTCATCATAAACATTTATCTCTATGTGCATCATGAAAAACTTATAGATGTCCGCCTATACTAAAGGTGAGAAGATATGTATCCAATAGTTTGTTAGCAGAGGCAAAAAAGAATATTTTTTAAGGTTCGAGCGAACCTATTGAAAGCCATTAATGGGTCAGTTCAGACTCGGGTTCGTATTGAATTGGGTGCTCCAAACTTTTAGTATTTTTCTTTTACAAACATACATGCATAGTGTAAGTAATAATAATTTGAATCTTCAGTTATGCAGAAAAGTTTTGCATAAAAGGCTATTTTTCATATTTTCTAGATCGATCGGACAAATACAGGAAACTTACTGGATGGGCCAGTTTGGATCTAAATGTTCAATAAGGAAGTATATCGTAGAAAAGATAGATGGATGAAGCAATGGTCAAAACATCTAAAATAAGGTGTTCCAAAGACTCTATTTATCAACTTTATTTCCAGAGCATTCTTCTAATTTTAGCAACCCATAAAAAAAGGAAATTTTATTGTTCCATTCATAAAAAAAAAACATATTTCTCAATGATGCCACGTACACTAATGATTACATTATTTGTTTCCTGATCAAATCATTGTATTGGAATATGAGAATAAGAATGGGAATTAATAGTTGTTACACATTTAAAATCAGCTATTTTCAATATGCCATCAACATAGAACATAGGATCAACGTCGTTAACTGTAAAAAGATGATGTATTCGATCAAAAATTTCTTCCAAACTAGTTTTGAAAATGATCGATGAATTATTACTAACTTTATCTCGAGCATAATGAGCCGTGATGTACATCGTGATTTATAAGTTGAAAACATGCGTCGCATAGATACATTAAACTATTTATTATTGTCATTGAATGTCAATCTAGTATGTTTGTATGAACGAGTTAACAATCCTAAGCATCAAGATTCTATCTAAAGGAACAGAAATTAAATTAAACAGACAACGTTTCGAATTCCATCCATTATAGTTAGATAAATCTATCTATCATCACTGAACGGCATCAATCTTCAACAAATCGATAATTGTATCATCCTTCTATTTAAAAACGTCGTTTAATATTTCAGTCACGAAATTAGGGATAAATCAACATGCTTTTTCATTCTATTTCTATTCTTCTGATTTATTAATTGTTCAATACTGCAAGTATGTCAGATATGAACTCTGCTTCCTATTGCGATATTAGTGGTTGCCAATATTAATTATTTTGTAAAACATTTATTTGGATAGAATCTATAATTTAGTACCGTATTACGTTTTGTACAGAAGTATTCGCTATGTATAATTATCGAGTCCGACAATTTTGAAGTTATTCATGAAGAAACTTACGGGCTTATCAAAAGCCTGTTTATTCGTCTTTCAAATCAATTTGTGAGGTTTCTGAAAGATTTCTTCATTCCTATGAAACAAAAATAAATGAAAAATTTTCATGGTTATATTCAGAAAGAGCTTCAAATTCTGACTACAATTTATACTTTCTATTTTGTCTAAGAACAGGCAACTATGCTTGTCTAACCAATCAACAGAAATAAGATACTCAAAGAGATAGGGAAAATATATAATTAACAGATAAGAACATAGTGAAAAAAGTTTGCAGACTTTGGATAAAAAGTAGGAAGGACGAGGTTCATGATCGATCCAATGATCATTCGATTCGTTAAAGATATCCGAACCCTATCTAAACTCACAAATTAAAGCAATGTCAATAGTCTACGAAGTAAAAAACAACTAATTAAAAGAACTTCATCAAAATTTTCCTATGAGCAGGGATTAGATGCGAATGTTTGATGACTTAGATACGCCCTGTTAATAAACGATGTAATGACACTGATGTCGATTATTATTTTGAGATCAAGATAGTCTCAGATGAGAAAATTGAATTAAAGCTTAATAGAAGAAGCTAAGAACTGTCTAAAAATATCCTTAAGAAGTTAATCATTTGGATTGAAGTAATTTGAAGTAGATGAAATGACGTTTTTTTCTCCTTGCTAGCATGATAATCCTTGGGTTTGGTCATAAATTGACCAGAGTGGTGTTCCACCAGACACGGATAATAAGTGGAACAAAAAAAGTTTGGTAGTTGTGTTCTCAAAAACAAAAAAAAAGATCGACATCCAATCAGTGTGGAATAAAAGATTTATCATTATGTTTTTCTGTGAATAATTAATTTATTGTTCAAACTGCATTAAGTGATTGATATTTAGGGATCTGTAGTGCTAATGTCATTTATTTTATTAGCTGAGATTTTTCGAATTTGAATAATTAGAGAAAACATCAACACTGTTTGCAAGGATGATCGTAACGATTTCTATCTTTAAAGGAAAAATAGTTTGAAGAATAACCGGACAAAAAGAAAAAAAACGAAATCAGTTCTTAACCTTGAATAAGAAGAATGAATAAATTTATTTATAAGTAAGACAATGAATTTGAATGATTAAATATTTACGAAACAAAACAACGAAAATATGAGAATTAGAAAATGAAAAAGTCATTCATGTTGTAATTCATTTATTTGAACATGATTTGGTCGAGATTTTGTTGCTATGGTTATTGATTGATTTGTTCTGCGACGATGAAAAATCAAGTAATAACGTCGAAAAAGTGCTTCCCGAAATAGTTTACCAGTAAGTGTATACAAATAGAAGGGTAGCTAAAAATATATAAAAAATAATAATAATAATTTACTTAATAAAAATCTATCTTTCCTATAACCCTCAAATAAGTATACTGTAGATTATCCTTTTTTTGATGCGATAATATTGAATAAAGAAAATCTTACCGCAATACCGACATAAGTGAGAAGATAGACCAATTGAAGGATGATAGTTTCAATGGCTTGTTGTTCCGGACTCTTGTAGGTATTCTCAGTGATTGTCGAATAGACTCTATGTATACCAACAGGTAAATTACATATAGTAAGTAAACAAACTTGTATTAACATCAAAGCAGTTAATGTTGATTGTTGTCTTTGTGGTCGTCCTCCTCGTACATTATTATTGATTTGATTTCTGTTAATATTGGTAATTCGATGATGAGTTTGTTTAATATTTCGAAGAGTTAACAAGCCAAATATTATCATAATACCAACTGGAATAATGACGAATAGAATAAGATGGATAAAATCATTTAAATAGAGACATACGATATTGATTCCAGTACATGCACGTCGTGAACCTTTTTGATTGACTGCATGACAATAAAGCATTTGACCGTAGCACAAAACTAGAACAGTTATTGTTGTAATAATAGCTCTATTGACGTTCTTCATTGATGAAATTATTCGATAATTTGCTTCGACAGAACTATTTAGCCAACGTTCAATTGACACAAGAGCAATGAATGACGCTGAACAACTCAATGAACAAAGAAGAATGATCATATAAAATTTACATAGAATATCATGTTGTACCATTAAATCCAAACCAAATGAAGTGAGAAATCGATTTGGTAAACCGGAAAATAATGCAACACAAGCGGCAATCGATGAACTCAAGAAGAGACGAGAACATGGATTTTGCTTTAATTCTCGATCGATACTAAATATAATCACATTCAATACGGTACCGACAGATCCAAATAGAAATATAATCAATGATCCATATCGATTCACATTTGTTGCTATTGAATAGAGTTGAGCAGCATTCGACATATCGTTTGTTAATAATGGCGAAGAGAAGTAAAATGAAAAGCTATTTCTTAAGACACAGTGATAAAAAAAATCATTAAGTAAAAATGGATTAAGAGAGATAAAAATAGATCTAAATCATATTTAATAAGTTTTAGTTATCCAACTGACATAATTTTTAATTATTTTTTATTTCACTGTGTGAATCGCATTTCTATTATCGCTTTTCATTCTTCATAGTTCAAGAAACTAAATAAATGTTATTGAACAAAAAGGACCATCAATAATAATCCAGTCGAATATGCATTATGCTTCAAAGATTAAATAAGTATTTCTTTGTTTATAGTTGTCGATAAAAAAATAACAATAGTTAATGTGTTGTCAAATTTTTTTCAACCAAGCTAATAGAAAAGAAGTTCAAAGTTACAAGTAACTTTCTAAAAAGACTTGATATGATTCGTTTTCTTCAATCCCTGAAAACTTAACTAGATTCGATAGGAAAAAATAAAGAAATAAGAGTCCATTCCACAAGTGTATCAACGTTTATATATATATATATATATATATCAAAATTCTGCATATTTTATTTTTCATCAGTTAATATCAAATCCAGTTTCTACCAAGTCAAACAAAATAAATCCGTCAGGATTTGTGCATAATTTATCTTCTTCAGATAATATTACGGTGCTTTTCAATTTGCTAAATACTTTCTAGCTATTTTTGGCATCACTTGATGAAATTTCATACACAACAGGATCATATTTTTTTGATTAAACAGAAAAAAGAATTACAGAAAATTGATTATTTTTAATAAAAGAAAGGTTTTTACATGATAATAATTGATCTTACTGATTGACTGTAGAAAGAGTGAAAGGAAAAATGTAAGAAAATAAATATCGAAAGGGAAAAAGATTGAAACGAGAAAAATATTGAAAAAAAAATAATGTTTGTAGTTTACATTGATCTAATCATCTATAATTAATTATTATTTTTCACATTATTCTATTGATCTAGCACTATAGTCAGTCAATGGTACATATCTCGTTCATCTCTCTCGTAATTTCATACTCTTATGTTTTATTTTGCATTTTATGGTCGTTGTAATGGCTGTGTACAATTCATTATAACTTATCCGCCAATTAGGAATATTACTTTTTTAAAGGACTATGTCAATTTTAATAACATTTCTAATAAGACTTATTAAATCAAATCAATCAAAATATCTTAGAGAATAAAAATGCTTTCTGATAATAAATCTTCTAGATAAAGAAGGAACTATCAAGGTAACATTAGTAAAAAAATCAAACTTGTGTATAAATAACTGACACACTCAGTAAATACATTAATGATGTTTAGCTAAAACGAACGGTTCTTTTTCAAATAGTTCGAAGAATTTTATGCTGTTTAAGAGAGATAATATGAATCAGTTAATTTATAAAGACTTTATATAATGAGGAAATTATGCAATTATTCAATCGATTTTTCTTCAAAACATTCTCGATGACATGTATTCCATTGTGCTGATGTGATTATCGGGATGGTAACCATCCTTAGATCTTTAGAAAAAATTAGATAAAAAAAAATGTCTTTTTAAAGTTTAATCATTTTTCACGTAAAAAAAGATAATCAAATAATTTTCTTGTAGATCGCATGAAACGATATTTTTACATTATGTACTTAAACAATGTTATTCTCAGTAATATTTATTTGCAAGATACCTTTACCATTGACTACAACCATATTGGCCATAATTAGTTATACGTTATTATCAATAGACGTTTAAAATAAAATCTATGATTTTCAGTCGTTCATACATGATAGGACGGTAGAATAAATGAGTCTCTTAGTAGTTTGACTATAGCTTTTTTTTCTATTTAATACTTACAAGGGAATATTTATTTTCAGATGTCTGAAAGCTTTTCAGTCAGGATTTCGCACATCTTGAAGTCCTTAGTAAGCTGTGTCCATGTTAAAAAAGCTGTTAGCACAATTTCTTACGGGATTAAAAATGTGAAATACGATGTACCTGCTGTTACCAATCTTATAAAAATTGCTCTTTTTTATGTATATTGGTGTACATTTCTTCATCGTGCCTTACTTTACATTATAGAGCTGAAACAGGATAATACTCCATATATGCTCCAATCATGTGTTAGTTATGTATTATCTCTGATAGTTCCTTGAACTCTTCTTTCATAGTCTATGATGATCCCTGGAGCTTGTCTGTCACGGTCTGTGTGGAGGGGGGTACAAATTTCTGCTCCTAAACACTTCCACACTCCTTTCAGATTGTGTTTCACAAAAAACCAATAGACGATAATGAGATTGTAGATATTGGACAAACATTTAAGAAGACTATGTAGAAAAATCGCTTTGTTTTGGTTCAGAGTTTGATATTCACTCTTCTAGAATTGATGTTGACTTTAAACTGACTTTTGGTGGACGATTCGTTTCTATTAATGAAAACTGATTGATTGGAGAAAACAATGCAGGAGATATAATTATTTCAAAGTAGTTCACTATCATGATGGTTGTTACATGAACAAAACGACAAAGAAATAAGTTTATCGCGCTTGTTGTTGATTGATGACAGTAAAAACAGTCGTAGTTCATTTTCATTCTGTGCAGTCGAACATCAAATGACTCTCTTGTTGACGACAGCTTCACGCGTTGTTCTCAGAGACGATATTTTTCTGTTGGCAGCTGTGAAAGTTATTGCTCTCAAACTGAATTATTCTTCAAGAATAACTACGTTACCCAAAGTGAAATGTAAGATTAATAAAAAGATGCTAAAAATCAGTTAGAAAGAAACCAAAAATATACCATAATCGGATCGGTATATATGGGTTCGCAATATATGAAGAAAGTAATGGAGTCCAAATAAAGATACATAAAACAAATCAATAGTGCATCATTCAACGAAGATTCCAGATAATACGGATGAGGACGGAGCTGATCTAGTCAATGAGTCAAATAATAATATCCATATCAAGTAAACATTCAGAAATAATTAATAAATAAAATTTTTCTCATATTTTAAGTCAATTGATTTCTGTTCATTTAATCAATGTCAAAATCAGCGATTTTAGTATGAAAGGATTTCATATATCGTCGATTTATTCACTTTCATTAAACTCATGAAGATAATACAGGCATTTAACGTACAATTATTACAATATATCCAACATCATGATAAACCCAATATGTTACATTCTCAAGTATGACAGGAAGCATAGCTTCAAAACACTAACCGATGAAATAACCAATATCAGACCTCAAGAGAGTGTAGATGCACGACTCCCATTCGCCCACATCCTCAAACTAGATGTGATACAGACATACATATAACATAATGGTCAAATCGAATCGAAGGTAGGTTAGAACAAATCAAAGTTTCACTAATCCTTTTTACATCAATACAATAGAGCTGCTAAAAAATAAATCGTGCCTCTGATAAAGGTTGCTTATTAATTCCTTTCTAAATCTCGACCTTCGTAATGTCAAGAACAAAACAATACGATATATTATCGTTTCATTGTACTTTTTTTTATCATCCCGTGAGACATACACAAAGATGGAGAAAAATTCGAATAAAAAAAAATGATCTGAGATTTTATGGCAATCTATTTTTTCTGTGTTTTAGACAGTAGTACAAGTAAGAATTAATTTTACTTGTAATCAAATATCATTGAAATTGAAGTGGAACGTGATTCTTACTAAATAATACAAACACTTGCTACAAATAAGAAAGGTAAAACCTCTCGTTTCTTTTCTATTCACAAATTCGTCATAAATTCTATCTATAGAAACAATTATTAGTTGTTGAAGACGCAAATCTTCGAGAATCGATATTTTCGTCATAAATGAACAAAAGTTAACAGTAAAATGATGCTGCAACACATTCTTTTGTAAGTAAAAACGAATTTTTATGTAAGTCTTCACATGTGTAATTGACTTCTATGTATTTAGACTATTAATGTCTATAAAAAGTATAATTGGCGGTGAGTTTCTTTAATAACTAACGTTCTCACAACAAAAAAAAATTCGAGTTCTACTTTTGTGAGACAACTCAATCTTCAATCATTGCAGACGAATATATAAGATCTTTTTTCTTTGTAGTAAATAATCTTATGACAATTAACGACAATCTAATCGATAGTGTGCCTGAATACACACGTTTTTTTAAGGTCGATGAGCTTTTTAATCATGCACGTATCACGGCGCTCCAACATTCAAATCTTACACGATATCAGATTGTTGGACATTCTCGAAATGCAGAAGCAATCCCAATGTTGAGTATTGGGAATGGATCTAAGTCCGTTTTACTTTATGCATGTCCACATCCGAATGAACCAATTGGTTCGCTGTTGGTAGACTTTCTACTTGATGCTCTTTTCGAACATACAACATTGCTCATGAAATATACCTGGCATTTATTGCCATGTGTCGATCCGGATGGAACGAGACTCAATGAAGGTTGGTTTGCGGGTCCATTTACTATTCGTCACTATGCACAATATTACTATCGACCAGCAGTGGAAGAACAAGTTGAATGGACCTTTCCGATCACGCATAAAAAATATAGCTGGAACAAACCACCGAACGAAACGCAAGCATTGATGAATGCAATTCAACTCGCTCAACCAGATTTTGTTTATGGCTTACATAATTCCGGCTTTGGTGGAATGTATTACTATATTAGTCCTCCTATGTTTGATATATTTCCTGAATTAGAACGATTGCCATCTCTACTAGACTTGTTTCTTGCAACAGGTGAACCGGAAACTCCTTGGATTATTCAATTTGCACCTGGTATCTTTAGACCAGTAAGCCTACGCACGGCGTATGATTATTACGAAAAGTATGCGACTAGCGATCCTGTAACTATAATGAGTGGAGGTGGTACCACTTTTGACTATCTCGAAGATATTGGCTTGAACAACAGTATTTTTCTTATGGCTGAATTGCCACATTTTCAATCATCTGCTGCCGCGAACGATACGATTATTCCGAATATGACACGCCGTGATGTTCTATTGTTAGGTCTTGATAGAGATGACGAAAGTAGTGCAATTCTTGTGAACTTAGTCAAGCGCATCCAAGATATGATGACACTTGAGTCACCCTTCTATCGTGCATCGTGCTCACTCTTGAGTCTATATAAAACACGTGCAGCTGGTCTTCGCCAAGCGCTTATCAATGACAATTCAACTCTTATACCAGCTACAGTTGCTAGATATGTAGACGCAGTTTATATTTCGATGTTCTACAAAATGCTTGTTGCTAGCATGTTCAATCGTGCAATTTTATTGCAACTCACTCAATCATCGTCGAATGTCAAGATACTTGAGGATGCTCATATTGAACTTGAAAGCTATCTCACTAGTTGGATTAGCGATATTGAGCAAAACTTATCATATTCGCCGATTTCTATTCGTAAAGTTGTGCAAGCTCAACTCGGAGCGATGTTAGCCGTTCTACCGAAAGTTTAATCGATGTAAGATGTCTTTTCCTTGTGTACTAAATTGTATTAAATGAGACATACATAATTGTGTTTTGATTGTGACTACTTTATGAATAAATAAATGTTCGTTGAAAAATGTTTAGAGTGTACATGACAGTTTCATTTTTTTCTCACGTCATACTCAGAATATATTCATATCGATCATTCAAGTTTCATGATTTTTCCAGACATAGAAAATCTTCAGCCATCTCCGTTCATCTTCTTGCTGCAATCTGCTGATAAATTCTTGCAACGTGGAAACAGCTTCAAATTTCATCTGATTTGACAAGCATCATGCTAAAAACTCATTCTATCCTATCAGTTATCAATATAAAAGGAAATTTTAGAATATTTGATCTATCTCACCCCCAAAACAAAGTATTTTTACCATGTAGCCTAAGTGGTCATTAAAAATACCCGGCTAATCAGAAATAAAGTCTAATTTATAGAAAATTAACATTATCATTGCTTGAAGATCTCCAGATTATATGGAATCAATGAAATTCCTACAAAAAATTTAGTTTGATACTTGGTCAATTCGTTTGCAGAAAAATAGAAAATCAATATTGTTTTCTACAAGTATTAAAAAATCGATTATAGATCTATGGAGAATCAGATGAACAACGATTTATAGACAGCGATTGTTCAATCGTATATGTAAATCTATCGATAATATATTTTGACGCTATAGTATATGATCATTTTTTTAGTATCAACGAAAACAATTAATAACTTAGTTACATATTCTCATTCGTCATAAGGGATACTAGAAATACTGTGTCATGTCATTTTTTTAATTAATGTTTTCGTTTTTTCTTTTATATATGCAGTGTCTTTATGTTGAAAATAGAATCTTTCATTTTGAGACATCCTCATTTCTGTCCAAGTGTGTGTTTTATATATGAACACTTTATCAAAAGTTTTTTCTTGTTTCAATTAATTCTAACATTCATATTCGTCTAGTAGTTAAACTTTAGTTTGTTTTCTTTGTGTATCATCTCTTTGAAATTGATATTATCTTTATCTGAGGACTCAAATAGATAATTTTGATCAATTATATCACTTTCGAAAAAAAAACTATGCCTTATACGATTTGAATTTTTTGAAATCTGTATAATGAGCTGCAAGTTCTGAACATTCTCAGAGTTTTATATGATGCAGTTACTGATAAAAAAAGGACTTTCTTTGTATAAATAGAAAGTCGTAATAGATTTTTCATTGTCTGCCAAATATTCAGGTTGTGTACTAGAGGGTGTGAGTGTGGGTGTGAGTGATGAAGAATAGCAGATTCACATATATCTACAACTACAGCCACAGCCACACTCGCACACACACCCACACCCACACACCCATACCTACACCCGAAAGAGAATCTCTGTCAAATTGGGATCGCCTCGTGCACTGTCTGCGAAGGCCAATGAGACATGACGATCGTTACTTATCGACAAGAAATTATTGAATGCCAAAAGACCACCTTTATTCTGGATCATCTTCTCAAATTCAGTATTCTACATGCATTGACCTCGATACACAGTAAACAAGCATCACTTCTCTGATATAGAGTGTAGTTGTTCGATTTGTCGATGGAGATTTCGTATAAAGGATTCCATTTTTATAACAATATCGGTATCTTGTGTTCTTAAAGCTCTATTGAAGGTTAAATAGATAAATGACTCTTTTGTGTACCATGCCACCAAATGGGTGAATGAAGATCATAATTTCTAGCGAAATTATCAATGGTATCCAATTCCAGGTTGTTATTGGCATGTGCACGAAGAAAGTTAATAAATTGTTGTTTGGCTGTTTCATCATGTTCAAACTCAAGAAGAATTTCTTTAAGTAGTTGTGATTGCATGAACGATTAGTCGAGTTCATTCAAAGCATTATGAAGAGAAGCCGTTGAAGAGAGAACATTGATGGAAATCAAATCATTGTGACACTGTCGAATGTCTCGTTTAAGTTTGATCACAAATTTTTTCAGTCTGTATGAAGACTGCTTTCACTTTTCTCTGATTTTTATTTCATAATTCATGCCTCACTTTGCAGTTACATAATACATAAGCCGAGTTCAGTTGAGGCATCTCTTGGATAACAGTTCTGATATGCTAACCAAAAGCATCGAAAATGATCGTAAAAACTTTTTCATCTTTAATATTATTGAGGAAATCGATACATTTGTCCACATTAGTGAATATTTTGATCGAATTAGTCACATGTCGAAGTTGATCGATCAGATTTTCATATTCTCTATCGGTCTCATTGGTCTTCGAATTCAAACAAAGAACAATGAAATTTTGAATGGTGTATTGTGACCGTTTGTGGTTCAACAAAATAGCTTGAGCACTAGGTAATACGTTTGCACCTTGCAATTTTCTTTCAAGAAACGCATATGCTAATGATGTGATACATTTTCCATTGACTTCATTCATGGTTGTTTATGTGTACGTGAAAAAAGACGAAGCGATGATGATTAACGAAAGAGAATCACATGTTATCGCCTCTTTTCCTGTATGTATGTATTTTCATCATCCGCCAAAAATTATTGGTAATATTTATGTTTTGCTTTACAATAGGGATGATTCACATAAGATCCAGATACTGTCGACTTGTTTGTGTACTGTGAATCGAGATGAACTATGTTTAAACTAACCTTTTCCATTATTAGCCTTGTTAATGCAAATAATTCTTATTTCCATCGACAGAAATGATAATCGACGAATTGATTTTGTATGTGAAAATATACACAAGTGTTGCTTCCAATTTTGGGTATTCATGTTGATGATGAAGACAAATATGTGGTGGTCTGTGTGAAAATTATTCAGTTAAGTTCTTACTGAAAAAAGTTTGATCTCAATGAAGTATCAATAAGCTCAATAGAACAAGAACTCACATACCCCCAACGAAAACTCATCAAGGCACAGACGATTAAAAAAGATTGAAAAAAGGCCGTTTAACAAGTGGTTACTAAAATCCCTTGGTCAAGAAAAAAAAATGTGAAGTTTTGATACAGTGTAAACATCTCGATTTGAACCCATTCAAATAGGTTTTTACATCTTTTTTTTTCTCGTCGTTGTTTTTTATCCTTTCGTTTGAACCATATCAAGATTTGACATTTTTTTGTCTTGAAAACCGTATAAACTTTTACGGAGTTTTTCCGCACCAAAATAGGTATAAAATGCTGGTATGACTATGAAGATTTTATCAAGAGTGAAAGCTAGTGTTATTAACTGATGACTTAAAACTAAAAGATTATTTCTAAGGACGTATTTTTTGAAGAGAAATATTATAACTTCAAGATGACCTACTATAACTCAAAGTTGAAAGTCTTAAAACAAAAAAACTGATCACAAATTTGAAAAGTTCCGATTTTCGAATATCGTATGAAGAATATCTTTGCTAATATGCTTTCATTTTTTGAGTTTCAATATCTCTTTTGGAAATTACAAATACTACTGTTTGTTAAAAAAATGACGTTCTCGATAAAATCAAAGATTAACTAACAGCTATAATGGAAGCAATACAAAAGATATTTTAGTCTTGGATTACAAGTGTGTGAGTGAAAATGAGTCTGGGTGTGGTTAATCTTATCATAACCCACACCCTCCTCTAAAACCGTTCATAATCTTAAACGAGAGGAATTATTAAATATTTTGCTATTTCTTTTTAAATCTAAATCAACATGATATGCATATGCATCGAAATGGGCTTGATCTATTCATAGGAAAGACGAAAATTAATTGTGAGAAATTCTGGATTGTAAATGATCTTCTTTTTATCAGAACTCATCCTCTTCGTTCTCTTTTTGGTTTATTATTCCTCTTTTTCCTCCTTTTTTCAGCTTTTTTCAACAATAATTCGAAAATGTCAACCATTTTAAAATAGACACTGACTTTCACAATGATTAGTAACGCATAACTATCGTGACTGCTAAAAATGAATAAATGGAAATGAAAAGTAAACCTATCTCGATATTCTGATTAATATCTAATGTTCATTTCGACAATCCATTGAGAGAATGAAAGAATTTTCTTCAGATATCAGTTAATAAAAACAAATGTTATGTAGCATAATATTTTATATTGTTTATTTTGTTTTATCATATATACGGAAATTCTCGATCTTAAACGATCATTTGCAACCTATACCAAGACATATAATAGATGTTACAAACAAAAAAAAGGCTAAACAAAAAGAAAAAATTAAATATATTTATATGTATCATGATCATTTACATCATAATCTATAACATCATAACCTGTACAGGATGTGGGTGTACGGACGGCTGTGGTCTATACCCATACCCACACCCATCCTAGTCTCTTTTTTCATATGTCTAACATGAATAGAACCGATTGAAATAAAACATATAATCATCCTTTTTGACGAAAAGATCTTATTCTCAGTTAAACAATAATATCTTCGTCATGAAAAGTTGGGACTAAAATGAAAATTTGATAAATTCCTTATCTTTATATTTTGATATAAAGAATAGAAATTGAAAGACTTTTATTTGAAAGTTATAAAAACTGTCTCGTAGTAGAAATAAATTGAGAAAAAAACCGTTAAAAGGTTAATAATTCTGGGCACATCCGCCAGACTGAACATCGCATTTGTTATCTCTCGGATAACAATGTCGACCATCTTTACAAAATTGAGCCTATATAAATTATTTATTTGGACAACAAATTGATCCATTCGAACCATAACATACACCTTGATTTCAATTTATATATTTAATAAATTTAAAAAGCAACCTAAAGAAGAATTACTTTTGAATAAGAACAACATATATAACTGATTTGATCCATTTTCTTTATTTGGACAACATGTGGAACTTGGAAAATATTTTATTTTTCTATCAGAACATGTCTGATCTTCAAAAGAAATTAATGGATATAATGGTTTAACTTTATTCATTTGTTTTTAATGAGACAAATTTTTGATCAGATTGAATTATATCAGTTCTATTTAATAAACTCAAATGATGAATGCATCTTTTGCTACCAACATCACATGAATATCCATTTCGACAAGAATGAAACTTAATTATTTCTACTTTTTCTTATTTTCACTTACTGCAACACATGTAGCATTAACTAACAAAGAAAATCTCTTATTCAAATTTTAAAAAAACCATAACAATAGGACAACATCTATATTGATCTGATGTTAATTGACAACAAATGTTACTATCAGGACAAGCACTTGCATCTATAATTATTTATTTATATAGTTTTATTTTTCATGAAAATAAACTTGGACATGGAACTGAATTTATTTGAATTTATCGAGTTGATAGTAGAAAAGCACTATAAATTAAAGAAAGAAAATAAATGACGAAAATAATAAGAAAAATAAAACAAACAGAGATTTGATTTGTCGATGAAGAACAATATCCATTTGGTAAACATTTTTGAACAACATGCCTATAAATCAATATTCATTTCACAACATGTTTCTTTCTGAAAATACATATTACCTATTTAGTTTTATTTTAAATAAATTAACTTACATTAGTTGGACATCCATATGAGTCTCCACTAACTCCAACTAATAACGATAACAAAACCAACGATCACATTCAATATATCCACTAAAATGAAATAAATACTAGATTCATATCAGAGGTGTCCATTGCGGCAGCGGCAGATTATCAGCCGCAATGGACATCTCTGATTCATATATTATCTTACCACCTTTTTTTACGATTAATTTCCATTTGGAATCTTACCAAAACGATTTTTTTCTCGAATGTATAATTTGTTCAATTTAAACGTCAGATATTATTGACAACCATACTCAACAATCAAGTCACTCTTGATTAACTTTAGTTTTCAAACGGGTGCATCTTCACATGAAAATCTATCTAAGTACTTGTTTACAACTTTTTTCAATTGAAGATATTCTTTTAATACAATTCTCAATCTTGACAGTCAAATCAAATGAACTTTAGAACATTTTTTCTCTTGCTTTGATATGAACTACCGATTTTTATATATTAACATAAAGAAGATCAATATATATAAGTACTTTTCTCGGTGACATTCTTTACGCACGTGAAAAACAAGATAAAATTGAATTATTAAGATATCGAAAAAAAGCAAGAGAAACATAATTTAATTAACTTATGTCATTGATATCAATTTTCTTTTCGGTACTGATGAGTTAATATATGAATATCTCGAAAATCAACTGCAGAATAACCCATAATCAATGAATATTTTTAACAGATAAGAAGAAGATAAGAGATTTTATCATGCGATATGAAATTATCTTTCATTGTCTTTTGAAATCTGTTCATATAATATAATCAAACATTTCTTTGTTAACTAATCAACTCTGATTTAATAAACTATTTTTCTTTTTTTTATTATTCGCTTACAAAACAAAAAAAAAATCTTTTCTTTTGTCCTTATTTGAAAGATACAAACAATAAAATAGGGTTATTTCCAAATGATTGAATAGTTTAAGGAAGAAATATTTAAGAAATTAACTAAAATAATAATAAAATATTTCGACGAGTTTAAACTTATTTCTTCTAATGAATTAACAAACTTTATCATAATAGTATTTATAATTATTCAAAATTATTCGGTTTATTCATTTGTCAAAAAAAAAAGATGAAAATAATAAAATGCTTTTTTAACAATTAAAATGACGAGAAAATGTTTGATTATCTTTTATTATAATAATAAAAATTATCAATAAATAGATGTTTAAGATTTCGTTTCTTGGAAGATATTTTGCATCAGAGTATTTTTTTGTTTATATTTTCATACTTAAAATATAATCATATATTTGTCATCTATTAAACTTTTTTTCTATTTCATGACTTATAATATTTTGCGTAGGCAAAAAAAGTATGTTTATATTCTGTATGAAAAAATTGGGTGTATACAAATAATTATAATCAACACTCGTATTATTTGTCAGTGTCTGACGAAATATGTTTTGATACTAAAATAGCAGTAAGGTGATGTGTTTACCATTTGATCGGACAGAAAGAAAAAACGCACTTAAAATAATAAATGAAGAGGATATCTAGTGCAAGGAATACACATTAAAAACATCGAACAAGCATTATTTGATTCGAGATGGTTGAAAATGCATGTTTCAATTACGATAGATTAAATCACACAATATCTCAAATTAATTCATCAAATCATCCGTTTAGTATTTATTTATTTTGTTTAAATTAATAAACAAAAATCTTTAATTTATTTTAATTTAGGATTATTCTAAATCGAAGTGCAAGTAATTTTGAAAATATTTTCTTTTATTTTATTTTTGTGTAAATATAATATGTAGGTATAGGATGGACTCAACAACGGCTTATTACAAAAGATGGAAATATTAATTTTCGAAGGTAAATTTTTATTTATATAAAATAAAATAAAATAAAATAAAATGTTCAATATAGATTACATATTGAAGATCGTATTCGTTATTTAAAAGATATTTTTATATCATTATTAGATTTACCATGGATATGGATATTATTTTTATTTATTTTTTGTTTTGTCACATCATGGATTTTATTTGCTATTATTTGGTATGTTATAATGATTATTCATGGTGATTTTTCAAATAAAACATTAAATAGAACTGATGATAATTATATTCCTTGTGTTGCTGGTGTTAAATCATTTAGTGGTGCACTTCTTTATTCAATAGAAACTCAACAAACAATTGGTTATGGAACTCGAGCTGTAACTGAAAAATGTACAGCTGGAATTATTCTTGTAATAATTCAAAGTTGTTTTGGTCTTTTAATTCAAGCTTTATGGGTTGGTCTTGTTTATACAAAATTATCTCGTCCACGAAAACGTCGTCGAACATTAATCTGGTCACGACAAGCTATCATTTCACTTCGTGATGGACTTTTAACATTACAATGTCGATTAGGTGATATGCGTCATAGATCAACATTAGTTGAAGCTCATATAAGAATGTATTATGTTTCAAAACGTCGAACAAAAGAAAATGAAATAATTCCACTTCAGTTAACTGATATGGATGTAGGTTTTAATGCTGGAAAAGATAGATTATTTCTTAATTGGCCACTTATTATTGAACATAAAATTGATATGCGAAGTCCATTATATACAATGGATAAAACGACAATTTATAACGAAAAATTTGAAATTCTACTTGTTCTTGAAGGAATTATTGAACCAACAGGAATGGTTACACAAGCTAAAACTTCTTATCTACCTAAAGAAATAATTTGGGGAGCAAGATTTGAAAGAATGATTCATTTTGATAATCTTTATTATACTGTTGATTATTCGAAATTTAATTCAATTATTAAAGATAATTGTACAACTGATTGTTCAGCTAAACAACTTCAAGAACAAATTAATAATAATTAATTTCTTTTTTCTTCTTTCATTAGATTTAAAAGATCTTATTTGTGAATTAAAGAACATTGTTTTTTTTTGTGAAACTGTATTTATTAAATATAATTTCAACTATTCACGAGACAGAAATGATAACCACCGAGAAAGTAAATCATTGAACAGGTCATCGAATCGCGAAACCCATTTCTGTCCAAGACTACAACGACAATAAAAGGCTTGTCGATCAATCTGATATGCAAATGTTGTTTTCCGCATCTGTGTGCAAATCGTTGAAACAATACAAAAAATTCTTTTTCCATTTGCTTGATATCTCGTTCTTTAATGTCGATGTACTATACAAACTACAAACCGGCGAAAAAATTGCTCTTTCCGATTTTTGACTGGAAATAGTTCGGACGCTTGTGGAAGAATGTGGTGTTCGAAGATCGAACAGCCGAGGCCGACCATTCACTGAGATGTCCGTGCGCATAACAGCACGACACTTTCCAACAAAAGTGGAAAGCTCGAATGACGAGCGAAGGTGTTGCTTTGTATGCAGTCACATGATCCGTGCTCCAAAGAAAGAAACAAAAACCAGTTACGAGTCCAGTGTTGGCTTATGCGTAGTACCATGTTTTGAAATCTATCATACGTTGAAACACTTAGAATTTTCAGCAATTGAGAAAGCTACGTTTACATTTCTTATTGAAAAAAAAAACCCGGCGCGAAAGGATTAATCAATTATTTCAAATCATTTCTAAGTGATTTCAATAATTAATCTAAGTGATCGTCATCATTGTTTCGGTTTACAAAGTAGAAATGGCATTGATATCTTCATCTTCATTTAATAAAAAAATAATGACTTTATCACGAATTGATTAATTAATTATATTTTAAAAGTTATTAGTGGTCATAATTGTTGCATGTACATCTCATGTAAAAGATGCAACTGGTTTATTTTGAAATGAAAAGAAACACGTGAGAATAAAAAAAAAACCTAAAAATTTACCAAAGTATGAAATTTCTCGAAGCAACCAACTACGCAAAGATCCACATCACAATCTTTACACATATAACGCGAATCTGTTCTCTTTTTAGGTCTTTTATTAGTATGTGCACATACAACACATTTTTTCTCAGGAGTTTCTCTTTCCATTTTTGAACGTATAAGAGAAGAAAAATGTCTAGCAGTGAGCCTAGTTGGTTTACAGCTCTGTACAGATCACCCAATTGTAGGTTTTGAAGTATGATAGCTTTGTAAAATTTCATATGTAAGTTGTAAACAAAAGTCTGCCAGTTGAGATTTCTATTTTTTATATTATTTATACGACAAAGGTACCTCCTATTTATACTACTTCCATAAGACATTCTCGAATGCTAAATAAAATGATTGATTTCATATGAATCAATGATGATGCTTTACGAAAGATATCCTTAGCGCTTACAGCATAGAACTAGTGAGTAGTTCCTTTACAAATCTATTCAAATTTTGAAGTCAGGTGTGGATGTGAATATGGAGGTGTGAATGGAGTGTGGATTAATAGAAGTTCTACACTCACACTCACATCCATATTGGTCAGTTTCTATTGATTACCAATGAACTGTCAGCTCTTTTAACAGCAAGCATGTACTTGAATAATCCTTTTATTATGATAGTTCAATATTTTCATGATTTTTATGGAATGATAAATATGAATGATAAGAAATACGATATATTGGATTAGTGCGATATTCAATTGTTCAATTTAAGAAAAAAAATTGTGTTAGTTAAAGCAAGAAACGCTTTTCTCGTAAAAGAATTCATATCAGAATTTAATTTAAACGAAAAACAAAAATTATGAAGTTAATAAGGTATGTTATTTTAATAATAGTCTATCTACCAGCTGAATTATTGTATGTTCCAAGATTTGTATCAAAAGTCAAAATCATATTCGGTGTAACGCAATTTTCTTGGTCAAAGCAAAACTCCATGGATGGACCAGTATTAGAACCTAGAAAAATGAACATTATTTGATAATCAAAAACAAAAATAATTTTTCCATCTTTACTTTGTACGCCAATAGTACAACTACTACCTCCATCACTTGCAATAAAATATTGGATTTGAACAATGCCAGGTTCATTCTCGAAAAACTTGACTTGGAATTGAGTATACATTTTAGGTTCCTCATATAGACACAAATAATACTCAATTATCAGTATACGATTCGGAACATCACCTTCAATGCTATAATAAATTCCTTGAGACGTGCTTTTAAAAGCATAAAGATTATCCCAGTATGGGAAAACTGTTGCATCTGGAAAAACGTTTGCCTCTTCAGGATTGTCAGAAGATAATGAAGTTTCCTGAGAACGAGAATCGCAAAGTCCAAGACATATAATCTATGAAAGAAAATAAATTCTTCATTATAATAATTAACCTATTTTATTTTTATAATATCTTGAAGTAAGATTGATTACTCGTATGAACTATGTAAAACGTTCGGTCTTTAAACTTTTACTCATTGAATAAAAATCAAACTGAAGACTACCATTTCTTTTTACGAGAAGTAAGTATTTCAAGATATTTCTTTTACGCTGATAATCAACACTGAAATTTGATATTGAAGCAATGTCGTAGCAGCAAGTTTTAAGATTGTCTATAGTATACATATAGTTAGGAAAGAACAATGAAATTTAAAACATCAATTCATGAACAGTCGATGTAACCAAGAAGTGGAAGTCGATAATCGCATACAATAAATTCAGCTAGAAACGTCACACTATTGAGTATAGAACAAAATCAGAAGGATACTTCTCCATACACTACCATTTTTGAGCTAAGATTGCTACATTGAGTTTTTTACCGTTGAAACAGTACTTATAAAATAACCAGATAAAATAATTTCAACCTAAAACCATATCCAAAAAGTAATAATCTCTCCTGGAGATGTAAAACCAATAAAAATCGGTGATATTCCACCGAAAATGACCGAAAAATCTGGCTATATGTGAATTTGATATTTCGAATGGAGACCATTGTTTTTAGTTGAAATGTTTTTAAGAATCTAATGACATCAACAACTATATATGAACAACGTTTCATATTGAAATTCGTTTATCCGGTTTTTTTATAATTATCATACGACATGTAAAAAGTCCAGTGTAGGACCCTAATTTTACTTGCACGTTATTTTTTTATATCTCTTTCTTAACAACACTGTAACGGCTATATATATATAAATGACAGGAACGAAAAAATCTATGATCCATGACTAATAACGAAGGACAAGAACTTAAATATATAGTATCATGATATAAACAGTAAGAAAACTTTTATGATGTCATCTGAACAAGATGCAGGTGTGACGAATTCTATCCATCACCATTCTTCATCACCTTATACAAGAACATCGGTCACTAGAGACCTGTGAAGTCAAGTTTTTTGATTCCGAAACCCGACTCCGATTCCAACTTCGAAAAAAAACCATATTTATAGGTATTATTATCTTCGAACTCGCTATTTACCGAAGAAAATATTTTTTGGAATATCTTAAAAAATTGATATTTTTTTCTATCAATTTTTCTGTTTGGGATGTTCTTTGTAAAAACAATCGAGAATCAATAATATAGACAGCTGTGGTACTTTGAATGACATTAATACCTTCTACGACTAATGTCGTTATTTTTTCATTTTAGTTGATTATTCAAACCATATATATCTAAAATGCGATCCATTCTTTTTTTTTTCCTAAAGTTCATTATTAATCGATGAATAGATTTTACTTAGTGATTTCGGTCTAACCTAAAATAGGAGATGCTACATTCGATGATTCTCTAGTATTGGGTGGCGCAGAATAAACTGAGGTCTTAGTACTTTTGAATTTTCTCCTTTACTATTCCATGGATTAAATACTTTTTTTTTATCAAAAGATGAGGCTTGAAATTCTCTAAAACAAACCATATGTATAATTGAATCGAAAAATTATTTCAGACATATTTGAGAGAAGATGAAAAGTAACAACAACGGTAAAAAATCGTTTAGGGTTAAAAAAAACCAGGCATCAACAAGAAGATTGACTGTTGAAATGAATATGTCAAGAAGAATCGCACAGAGAATATAACGTTAAGATCTAAGTTATTATCCATACAAGAAAATCAAGCAACCTAAAATTACCGATATTCAAAAATAGAAAAAGACTTAAATTTTCTAATTGAGTATTAAACAATTAGACCAAAGATGACTTTTTATTAATGAAAAGTTTTTTGATCTGGATGGAATATACAATTCTCAAAACAATCGGGTCTGGACTATAAATAGAGAAGCGATCGGCAAGAAAGATGCTACTTATGATAAAAGTAATTTCCCGTCTAAGGTGATAGTATGTGGTTAGATGTATATGAAAAAAGGGTTGACGATGTCGGTAATTTTAGAAAATATAAACAATGAATGCAGAAAGATGTTCTTCCAACAGCTCTAAAATGCGACAACAAGATATTAGGAACAACTGGATATATCAGCACAACGGCATAAGACCTCACACATATCATCTGAACTAAAAAACTGATGTGCTACTCATTTTTCTGCAGTTATCCCATAGTGGAGGAGACTATGTTCATGAAATGAAATGTAACATTTTGAGTAGAATTTCAAGCGCTATCTTTTGATAACAAAGAATGTTTCAATCAAGCAGATAACAGAGGAAAAAGTTCAAAAATAGTAAAACCGCAATCTATTCTGTGCCATTCAATAAATCTATAAATGGAAATAAAAATCTCACTTCTTTTATATCTAAACGATTAGCAAATTATGTGTGTGTGTCAAGATTTATCATTTTCTTCTTTCTTTGAACTCTAATCTAATTTAATTTTAAATGCTAATAAATAATTACAATTTGAGAAGTCAAATATCAACGATTTATCTAATTAAAAACCAAAGTTTTATATGCTCATATTTTATTCCCTATCTTCTTTTGTATGCAAGTTTTTATTTTATGATCTGAATTATTTTACATCTTGAAATTCATCATAATTTATATGGATAGAAGTTTAAT